TAAAAATAAAATAAAATCTGTTCAGGAGTCTCCCAAGCCCCATAGAGGTACATTTAGCCATCGCCTAAAATGACATGGGTGAAGCCAGACTTGGAAACCTACCCCTGTTTGTTAATTGGCTTGGTTGTTTTGTTTTGTTTTGTTTTACTTTTTAAGTTGACTGCTTTTTTTTTTTTTAACTGAAAATGCCTTTATTATTTTTATTGAAATGTAACATACAGTGTTATATGTTAGTTTCAGGTGTACAATATAATGATTCAATAATTCTATACATTTCTCTGTGCTTATCAAAATAAGTGTACTCTTAATCCCTTCTATCTGTTTTACCTATCCTCCTACCTACTTCCCTCCTGGAAACCACCAGTTCTCTATATTTAAGCATAAGGTTTTTTGTTTTTGTTTTTGTCTCTTTTTTTCATTGTCTTTGTTTCTTAAATTCCACATAACCCCTTACGCCTGTCAGAATGGCTAAAATGAAAATCACAATAAGTGTTGATGACAATGCATCATGCACTGTTGGTGGGGATGCAAATTGGTACAGCCACTGTGGAAAACAAAATGGACTCTTTCCATTATTTGGCTATTGTTGATAATGCTGCCTTAAACATCAGATGCATGTATCCCTTTGACTCAGTATTTTTTGGGTAAATACCTAGTAGTGCAATTGCTGGATCATAGGGTAGTTCTATTTTAACTTTTTGAGGAAACTCCATACTGTTTTCCACACTGGCTTCACCAATTTGCATTCCCACCAACAGTGTAAGAAGGTTCGTTTCCTCAAAAAATTAAAAATAGAATTACCCTATGGGCCAGTATTTCCATTTTTGGGTTTTAACAAAAGAAAATGAAAACAATAATTCAAAAAGATATATGCATCCCTATACTTGTTGCAGCATTTTTTACAATAGCCAAGATATGGAAGTAACTCAGGTATCCATCCATAGATGAATGGCTAAAGAAGATGTGGTATGTATATAACCTTTATCCATTCATCTATGGATATATGTGTGTGTGTGTGTGTTTGTACACATATATATAATGGGATATTACTTCACCACGAAAAAGAGATCTTGCCATTTACAACAACATAGATGGACCTAGAGGGTATAATGCTAAGTGAAAGAAGTCAGAGAATGACAAACACCATGATTCCACTCATGTAGAATTTAAGAAATAAATGAAATTGACTGCTGTTTAATATTCACACATAGTCTTGAAGTCCAGGTATACTACTTCCTCTCATAATTGTTATCAAAGACTTTTCTGGAATAAGATATTTAGTTATGCCAAAAAAAATGCTGTAACACCTCCTATATGATATGCTATTAATTAGTTGCCTGAAAGAAAGATTCACACAAAATCCATTTTCTGATTGATGAATGGTTGCATGCTCACTGAGGTTGTACTTGGATGTCTGTCATCAATTTAAATATTTTTGGTTAAATTATAAAATGTTATTAAAAATTTGCAAATTTGACAGATGAAAATGGAGACTTACACTGGTACTAAAATAAAAGTAATTTAAAATAGTATTTCAACTGCATTTCCCCTCAAATACTTTTTTTACTAATATATTTCTTCTGAATGGTCTATTTCCTTTGTCCGTTTTTTAATTTCGATGTCAATGTTCAAGGTCAATTTCTGAGTTGACAGTTCTTTATATAACAAACATCTTAACATTCAGTCTCTCAATTTTGCAGAAAATATTTGATTAATTGCTTGACATTTTAGAAGTATTTAATATTTGCAGTTAAAGCCCTGAAGAATTCCTCTTGACATATTTCTATTGCCTCTAATCTTAGACTCTTCTCTACACTTTCATTTCTAAATATTTAATTTTATTTTAATATTTCTATGATTGGACTTTTTATTCCTTTGTATACCTAGATTCAGCCAAGCGGATAGAAAGGTCTACTCTACTGGTTATTATGATAAAGATACTCTCTGCCCTCTTACTGATCTTAATAATTTTAATTATTATTAATTATGAAAGGAAGACACACAATTATCATTTGCAGCTGATATGATTATATCCCCAGGAAAGCCAATCTAGTGAAAGGAGCAAACATGTAAACTTACTACAAAAAGTAAATAACTTGAAAGATACATAAGCAAAATTTCATGGGTACCTAAAATACTGTAGCGAATTTGGCCTAGGACAGTTAAGAATGGCTTCGTGGGGGTGGGGGATGGAATAGAAGTTATAGTTCAATATATATGAACTATATACACTGAATATACATGAATATATCTGTATATATGAATATATATGAATATGGTGTTTTCCATGTGGAGTGATGAAAAAGGTTTGGAAAAAGTGGTGATGGTTGCATAATACTATAAACATAATTAATGCCATTGCTTTGTACATTTCAGTGGTTAAAATAGAAAAGTTTTATGTTATCTATACCCACAATGTTTATAATTAATAATGTACCAGAGACCATTGAATTATAGACTTTAAATGGGTGAATTATGTGGTAGGTAAATTATATATCAATATAGCTTTTTTTTTTCTTTAAAGAATGGCTATACAGGGCTGATGACATTTGATTCTCAAAAGACTGGAAGGAGACTACCAGATAGGAGAAAAAATATTTTTTTTGATAAGAAAAGCTATCTTTGGCATGGGGATTTTTCTTTTCAGAAAAATGTTATTTTCACTATATTTCTGTAAATCATGTTCATAAGTCCAGAACCACTGACCTTCCTTTAAGAACAATTTTTTGAGTAAAGAAAGTGACTAGAGTCCAAAAAAGAGCCTAACCTAAATATTTTGAGATTTGAAGGTCTCAGAGAAGCTCTGAGGAGCAAACTTAATAAAGACAGCCATCCATCTTAGTTTCCTTGCTTCTGACATAGGCTGTCACTGATTATAACTAAGCAGTGCTGCTCCCTGATCTTTTTGTAATAAGAAATATCCTAAAGTTCTTACATTAGAAAGATCCAGGTAATAACCAAATTAAAAAAGAGTCTAGGCTAGGGGCGCCTGGGTGGCTCAGCCGGTTAAAGGACTGCCTTCGGCTCAAGTCATGATCCCAGCGTCCTGGGATCAAGCCCTGCATGGGGCTTCCTGCTCAGCGGGAAGCCTGCTTCTCCCTCTCTCTCTCTGCCCCTCTCCCCTGCTCATGCTCTCTCTCTCTCTCAAATAAAATCTTTAAATAAAAAAAAAAGAGCCTGGGGGCACCTGGGTGGCTCAGTCAGTTAAGTGTCTACCTTCAGCTCAGGTCATGATCCCAGGGCTCTGGGATCGAGCCCCACATCAGGCTCCTTGCTCAGTGGGGAGCCTGCTTCTCCCTCTCCCTCTGCCTGCTGTGTTCCCCTCTCCCCCATGCCTCAAATAAATAAATAAATAAAATCTTTAAAAAAGTCTAGGCTAATAGGTGATGAAGACATTCCGGATGATTTTGAAGATTGTAACTTATTTTTTTAATTGAACTATGCTTAACATACAGTGTTATATTAGTTTCAAGTGTGCAACATAATTAACATTTCTGTACATTACTCAGTGCTCATCACCATAAGTTTACTCTTAATCTTTTTTTATTTCACTCATCCCCTCACCCATCTCCCCTCTGGCAACCACAAGTTTATTCTCCATATTGAAAAGTCCGTATTTTTTGTCTCTTTTATCTTTCTTCGTTTGTTTTGTTTCTTAAATTCCACATATGAATGAAACCATATGGTATGTGTCTTTGTCTGATTTATTTAATTTAGCATTATCCCTTCTAGGCTCATCCAAGCCATTGCAAATGGCATTATGGCATTATGGAGTAATATTCCATTATATAATATACACACACCATTGCTTACGGTGCATATATACATACATACACGCACACACACCCACACCCCACATCTTCCTTATCCTTCTATTGATGACAGTTGCGTTGCCTCCATATCTTGGCTATTGTAAATAACACTAGGGGTTAACATAACATAGGGGTGCATATATCTTTTTGCTAGTGTTTTCCAAGAAGAATGGTAACTTATTTGTAACATAGGGGTGCATATATCTTTTTGCTAGTGTTTTCCAAGAAGAATGGTAACTTATTTGTAACATGGAACTTCCAGAGCAGAGTGTTCATCTGATTACTCAGGGCTAACATGATTGTCCTTGAGTCTGTTAAAATTCTTGCCTTTAGGACTCATTTCCTAACACTGGGTCCTAAATGACTGAGGGGAAAAACTCTGAAGAGTTGGGATCTCTTCCACTAGCCAATGGCCATACCTGA